AACTACTTCACAGTTAGGGCGGCTAGGAGCTGGAACCAACTTCCAAGGGAAGTGGTGCTGGCCCCTACCCTGGGGGTCTTTAAGAAGAGGCTGGATGCCTACCTGGCTGGACTCATTTGAGTCCCGTTTCTCTTTTGGGGTTTTTTGTTGTTCTCCCGCCCTGGCGGGGGGTCGGGCTAGAAGATCTACTAGGTCCCTTCCGACCCTAAATCTATGAAACTATGAGACACCCAAATGGTCTTTGAAACATGGATCTAGCAGCAAATGAGATGCTACATTCCCCCATGAGGCGACTGCTGAGAGCAGGAGGGAAATCCCTGGCTGTAGCAGTAGGCATTGGCTGCCAGCTTTCATGCGCACCATGGCTGAGTGTCCTGTGTCCATCCTTCCCCCCTCCCTACTCCCATCTCCCACCTGTCCCCTCGGCTTCAGAAATCAAACTCGATGACTCTCCTATGAAAGGCTCCAAGGGCCAGGCCAAAACCAAGGAGAAGGTCAAGGCACCTAAGGAGGACAAGAAGAAGAAGCAGCAGCAGCAGCAGCAGCAGCAGCTGCCTGAGGTCCCTGAGAAGAAGAACAAGCAGAAAATTGATGAGATGAAGGTGAGCAGAGGGGGGCAAGATGGCTCTGTAAGGGGGTAAATGCGTGGGAGGGAGCTTGATGGGATGGGGGAGTGTGGAGATGAGAATAAGCAGCATAAACTGGCCAGGACTCACTGGAGGATGGACACGAGGAGCAGGTTTCTAGCTCTCAGAGCAGGGAGGCTCTGAATCAGCCTCCACACTGGGGTACAAGCAGCTGGCTTGGCAGATGGGAGAGATGATGTGCGATAGATGCCCACGATCATAAAGACTCAAGGCTCAGGAAGGCACCTTCCCATTTGGGATCGTTTAGCACCCAGGCTGCCATCAATAAGAGGGGGACCCAAGCCACTCTTGAACACTTTGGGATTCCTTACTCCACCTGCCATGCTCTGCCCCTCCAGATATTCAACAAAGAGCTGGAAGCCGAGTTCGACAACTTTGAGGACTGGCTGCACACGTTCAACCTCTTCCGGGGCAAGATCGGGGATGATGACGACAGCACGGCAGATGACGAGCGCATCGTGGGGAGGTTCAAGGTGTGTCCGGTGGGCCTGGAGGGCGAAGGGGGACCTGGCTACTGGCCCCTGGTGTCAAGGCAGGTGGAAAGGAGCCAGGCAGGGAGAGGACCCAGATGCAATGGGAATCAGTTCTGGTTAGATCTGTACCTCGGTGGGAGACCTCCAAGGGCCTTACAACCAGGGCTGCCCCAGAGGGTGGGGAAGAACCACTACCTCCTCTGCCTGCCTTAGGAGTCAGTCACAGCTGCAACGCTCAAGCACTCATCTCCTTTTAAGACCTGAAATGCCAACAGTCCCTACAGGGGCTATACACCACCTAAGGAAGCATCTGATCCCAGCCCATATCTATTCCTGCCAGCAAATTTCTCAGTTTATGGGCTGTTCCTGTACGTCCCCCTTCTGTGGAACAAGCCTCACTCGAGACAGGGACACATTGAGGACCCAAAGTGAGTTACACTGGGGTGCAGCGTGGACAGATGACCACCTCCCCTGGGGTAGCTGCCCTTGGCAGGTGCTGTTGCAAGTCCTTGGCTGCCCTGGGGTGAAGGTGTCCTGGGGTGAAGCTTGAGTAGAGCTGTGGATTCATGACCCCATAAACCAGCATAACTTACTCCTGGCTTCATGCCGGAGTAGAGTGACTTCTGCCAGTGTGCCAATGTCACACTCCTCCCGCTGCAGAGGACCAAGCGCGGTGTGTCCGTGCCCTCTGAACCACAACCCTGTTGATCTCATCAGAGCTTTTTCTTGTCTGAAGCTCTCTCCAGCAACGAAGGTGTAGCACAGTCAGCCTTTCCAATAGGGTGTAATGCCAATACTGGATCCTGGCTGGTCACATCCCACTGTGATGCTCCCAATTATTGCAATAAGCTTCTCCTAGCAGATGCAAGCTGCCCATCACCCCATGTGTCTCTACTGCCGCTGACAGTACAGGGACATAGAAAGCAGCTTGCTGTGTAGTGGCCCCAGTGGTCTGTCCCTCCCAAAGGACACCTGCAAAGCTCTGAAGCTTCAAAACCTGTCATAGTTAGAAACCAAGGTGTCGGGCTTGCTTACCAGCTGTTTTAAGCACCTTGCTGCTTCACTCCCCTTCACCCCTGGAAACCAGTCTTCAGAGTCCTTGCAAAACCATGGATGCCCTTTTGATGCTGTCCTCTGAACTGCTTGAAGTTGCAATCCTCGAGCATGGGCGGATCCAACATTTTGAAAAAAGGTGGCAGATGGTGAAGTGCATCATCCCATCTAAAACAACACCCATTTTACCCCAGCTAAAAAGAAACTAGAAGCTTTACTAATACGCTAGGGGGGGCTGGAGCTGTATTAGTCCATTCAAGACGAAGGAGAAAACAAATAGGACGTCACTGAAATGAGTAAAAAGCAACCTGTGAAATAGGAGCTTTGTGACCAGGAGCAGCCAACAGGCAGCAGAATGGCAAAAGAAAGGTTAGCTTGATTGGTGGAGCATCAAGACCGGTAAAAGGAGAGAGGGGTGTTAACACCCATGGAATGAAGAGTTTAGCAGGAATTAGGGAGATGATAAGGAGACATGAAGTCCAGGGATGCCCTCACTGCTGCCTGACTAGAAATGCCGCTGTCACTGCCAGGCAGTTGGTTGGGGTGCCGCAGGAATCAAAGGGGGTGGAAGTGCATCAATGCACCCCTCTGGATCCTCCTGTGTACTCGAGGCAGAGCTGGGAACACAGGGCTGGACTTGCTCTGGGTTCTCCCCTGGGACTGTGGAGATCAGGATGCCCCCCGCCCCCAGACCTCACATGTCTCACGGGGACATCTTCCTGACCCCAGGGCTCCATGTGCGTCTACAAAGTGCCACTCCCGGACGACATCACCAAGGAGGCAGGCTACGACCCCAACTTCGGCATGTTCCAGGGCATCCCCAGCAACGACCCCATCAACGTGCTGGTCCGTGTGTACATCATACGGGTGAGTGCGATGCAACGGGCAGCTTGGTCTGTGCACCTTTCTCCCTATTCCCCAGCCACGGAGGATGGGAGCAGGGTGGTGATACGTAAGCCATAAGGAGAAGCGGTCCTCCTATTTCTCAGGGGAGTGTCCTGAGCCTCAGTCTCTTTTGGGGTCCCCAAGGAGCTGGGCAGTGTTAACCAGTCATTCCCTACCTGGAGCAGGAGGCTCTTTCCTAACCACAGTGTTTGCTGAAACTGGGTGAACTTGGAGAGTTGTTGCATCTGTGCTGGTTCAGGATATCTGGAAGAAGCCAGGGGCTTTGGTGTACTTAGGAAAGCTGCGAGACAGGCTTCTAGGCACGGCATCGCCTTCCCCGAGGAAGGACACTCGGTGCCTGAAAGCTTGTCTCGTCCCCGCCAGCTGCACAGTCAGTCTAGAGAAGGAGATGACCAGAATACCCCGGCAACTGGCCCATTCCCACAAAACTTTCAAATTCAGCTGAAATTGGCATTTTCCAGTGAAAAATAGTTTTGCGTGAAAGTTTCCCACGGCACAGAGGAGCGCCCTGCCCAGCCCCAGCTGCTGAAGGGGGAAGCCCCGAGCAGGGGAGAGTAGGCTGGGAGCAGCAGAGGACCTGGGGTCTGGTGGGGGAGCTCCAAGTCTCCAGCAGAAGATGCTCCCCCCACCCCGCCAGCTCATCCAGGGCACAGGGGGAGATGGGATCCATCTCGTGCACCCTGACTCTGGAGGGGAGGCTGGATAAGTTCCCCATGGCTTTGCTGTCGTCTCCTGAAATGCAAGGGATTGCACTGGTGGGGAGAGTGGTCTGCTCTTTCTGGGGCAGCTCCTGCCTGGTCCCTGCCTCCCTTGTCTTGGAGGCTCTGTCCTGGGGGAAGTGAGCTCAGGCAGCCCTGAGGGGTTGCCCCGCACACACCTGCATGCACACACCTGCATGCATGTACATGCACGCAGTACTTGTGCAATCCCAAGCACTGCTTCTCAGGGCAGGGCTTCCTTTCTGCCCTGGTCCCCCCTTCTGCCCAGGGGGGTGGAGCAGGGCCGGGTCTCCATATGATACCAAGACCTGTGCTATAGCCATTGGAAGGGGCAAGCTCCCTGCTTTTACCTTGATCTGTCATCGCCATTGCTCTCTGAGCTCCTCCTGCAGCTCCTGGCTGCCTGGCAAGCACATGCTGCCGTGCCCCCTCTGCATGGGCTCAGCCCCAGGATGCACAGAGAAGACTGAAGGGACGTGTGGGGGTCTCATATCTCCCTTGCAGGCTACAGACCTGCACCCTGCCGACATCAACGGGAAAGCTGACCCCTACATTGCCATCAAGCTGGGCAAGATGGACATCAAGGACAAGGAGAACTACATCTCCAAGCAGCTCAACCCCATCTTTGGAAAGTAAGGTGCTCCAGCAGCTGGCCCCCATTACCTGCTGCTGGAAAGCAGAGGCATACCACCTGACATGCCCTTCCAGGTGTTTTTAAGCCTCCCTCCAATGCACTGGGTGTTGGCTGCAGCCCAGGCTGGGGATGGGGACTGGGATGAGCCAATGCTCCTGCTGGGACCAAATCCAGAGGGTCCTGGCTAGAGGCTCTTGCCCCCGTGCTTGGGGTCAGACCGATGCTGCATTTGGGGTCAGGAAGGAATATCCCCCCATGGTCAGACTGGTACAGACTGGGTTGGAGGGTGCCTTCCTCTGTAGTAGGGGCACAAACTCTGCCTGGGATCTCTTGAATGTATATTAACAACCTTTTATAGAAGCAGGACCTCGGCTGCTGTTGTTCCCCCACTTCCCCTGCGGCAGGTTCAGGTGTGATGTCCTGCATCAGGTTCGACAGCAGTTGTACAAAGAGGCTGGACAGTGGGTTTGTCCGGGCTGGTTTGGACAGGGGTCTGATCCTGCCGCAGGCAGGGGCTGGACTAGATGTGACCTCTGCCAGCCCCACGGCTCTGGGCTTTCTGCTTCTTTTACTGTTTGGAAACAATTTTGTTGCATGAGGAGTTTGAGGATATCATGGTTGGGACTTTTTGGATAAATGGTTACCTATCAATTTGGGGCTTCGTGAGTCAAGAGGTCCCTTCCCGTCCTGCAGAAAGGAGTGGGTTTGCTTCTATATACACTCAAGAGATCCCAAGCAGAGGCCGTGCCCCCACTACAAAGGAAGGCAACCCCCCCCCCCAGTCTGTACCAGTCTGACCGGTGGGGAAATTCCTTCTTGACCCCAAATGCAATCATCGGTCTGACCCTGAGCAGAGGGGCAAGACCCTCTCCGGGAGCCTCCAGGTCCCAGCAGGAGCACTGGCACAGCCCAGTCCTCATCCTCAGCCTGGGCTGCAGCACCCAGTGCCTGGGAGGAAGGCTTCAAAAAGAAGAAAGGGGAGGGGACAACCAGTGGAGCCCAGACCCCCATAGCAGAGCAGAGGCATCGCTGCACCTAGATCACCCCCCACTGGGGTCTGTCCCCACCCTCCTTGACACCTCTGGGGATGGAGAGCCCATCGCCGATGGAGGGCACTCCTGGTGTCTCAGGGCTTGCTCCCTGTCCCTGGGGTCCGGGTTTGAAGCTGTGATTTTTGGCTCGAGGACTTGGGGGTCCCTCTCAACCTGCTCATGAGGAAAGCTGTGTTCTCTGTTTTGGGGGCAGCAGGGCGCTGGGAGGGAGCAGAGCTGCCTTGGGTGCACCAGACCTGGATGACAGCAGTTGCTCCCTGAGGGGACACGGGACCCACCCAGGGCTCCCCGTTAGCTGCTCCACCCCTGGGCCCATCTGGAGCTGCTTGCTCTAGCACACGTGGGTGGATCAAAGCAGAGCCCGCCAAGATGCCGCAGGCACATCAGAGAGCGTCACCCCACCTGTGCCGGCCACAGCATGCTCCGTGGCCGTGGCAATAAGGCAACAAGGGCTGGCAGACCAGCAGCCTGACCAGTTTGGTGTCTGGAGCTCACCCTGGCACTGCCACCCATCATGGACCATGGGCCAGAGCCCGGGCTGACCTCCCCTTGCCCCTGTGCCCAGGTCGTTCGACATCGAGGCCACCTTCCCCATGGAGTCCATGCTGACAGTAGCAGTGTACGACTGGGACCTGGTAGGCACCGACGACCTTATCGGGGAGACCAAGATTGACCTGGAGAACCGCTACTACAGCAAGCACCGGGCCACCTGCGGCATCTCCCAGACCTATGCCATGTATGGACCCCACCCCCCCCGGGAACGATGCCTGGCCCTGTGCTGGCAGCCCACCCTGGGGGGAATGGGGAAGGGGTCACTGTGGGGAGCTGTAGGGCTGGACCCCCGCCAGCTGACCCCTGACCTTTGCTTGCAGCCATGGCTACAACATCTGGCGGGACCCCATGAAACCCACGCAGATCCTGTCCAAGCTGTGCAAGGAGGGCAAGGTGGATGGGCCCCACTTCGGGCCCAGCGGACGGGTGAAGGTGGCCAACCGCGTCTTCACTGGCCCCACCGAGATCGAGGATGAAAATGGTGAGTGATGGGTGGCAGAGTAAGGCAGGGCAGGGTGCACGGCCCCACGCCCCACCATGGCTCCCTGCCGTGCCCCGGACCTCTTGGATTACAGCGGCGCTGGGTCCAGGCTTGGGGCCACGTGGGTATGAGAAGGCTGGAGAGGAAAGGGGTTTTCCACCCCTCAGAGCCGGGAGATTGCAGAGCCCAATGGGGTGCGGAGATGGCACTCGCTGCATCTCTGCGTCCCTATGCCGGGAGTCTGGGGCAAAAACCCCCGTGGGGCTTGCGTCCGTGCCAACCCACCCCCTCCGCTCTGCCCCCGCAGGCCAGAAGAAGAAGACGGATGAGCATCTGGGGCTGATGGTCCTGCACCACTGGGAGGACATCCCGCGCGTGGGCTGCCGCTTGGTGCCCGAGCACGTGGAAACACGGCCACTGCTCAACCCCGACAAGCCTGGCATCGAGCAGGTGATGCTCCCCCATCCCATGCTTGCAGCTCTGGGCTCCCATTCACTGGGCTGTGCCCCATGCACACGTGCTTCTAGCTCCTAATCCCTTTCCATGTGCCCCCTGCTCCATGTCCCCAGACCTCCAGGGCCCCTTCTCATCCTCCCCATCCCCTATTTCCCCTTAGCTACTCCATGGGTGGAAGATACTCTTTGCCCCTGGGGGTGGGGCAGAGCCAAGGCCCCACCCCCTGGTCCAAGCTCCATGAAGCTGTTTCATTTGGTGTCAGCAGTGGGATCCAAGGAAGTGTCTGCTGGGAGTACTGGGCAGGGAGCCTGGTGGAGGGAGCGAGCTGACCAGGCCTTGCTGCCATTGCAGGGCCGGCTGGAGATGTGGGTGGACATGTTCCCGATGGACATGCCAGCGCCAGGCACGGCCGTTGACATCTCGCCCAGGAAGCCAAAGAAGTAAGAGCCCATCAGTCACACTCTGCAAGGGATAGCCTCGTTGTGGGCTGCACCCACTCCTGCCCCCATCCTACCCCCATCCTGCCTCTGCCCCAGAGAGCTCAGTTGGGCTCCTAGCAAGTTGTCCCATTTGTGCTCAGCTCTATCATGAGCCCCAGGGCAGGGAGTGGCCTCCCCTCCTCTCCTCTGCCCTCAGTGATGTACCTGCAGCAGGTACATCCTACCTGTAGGTGCCTAGCATAAATGATGGCCTGGCAGGCTCCTTGTGTCTGTGACCTGGTGTCATCATTGCTGTCCTTGTGCCGGGTGTTGCTGATCTGTTGTCAGTGCTGAAGCCTCAGGAACTGCATCCAGAGAACGATAAGCTGGGATCGTCTGGGGTGCAGCGAGGAGGGCAGCAAGGAAACCCCACTCGGCAGTGACCCAGGAGCCAGGGTGTAGTAACTTTACCCTGGGGTACCTTTCATGTGGCCACTCTTCCCTACCCAGTATCATCTAGGTACCCATTTGAGTTATCAGCACGCTGTGTATTGAGTGGCAAGGTCACCCAGTGCAGATGGTGGTCATGGTCATGGTCATGGTCATGGTTGTGGTCATAGTCATAGAGAAATAGGGCTGGAAGGGATCTCCGGAGCTCACATCTAGTCCAACCCCCTGCCTCAGGCAGGGTCAGTCCTGTCCAAACCAGGCCAGACAAACCACAATCTAGACTACCGTCAAACCTGACACAACGCAGACCTAACACCCAAACCTGCCACAGGGAAAGCAGAGGGACCACAGCTGCCAACGTCCTGCTTCTGTAAAAAATAGTCAATACATGCTCCAGAGGTCCCAGACAGAGGCCGTGCCCCAGCTACTGAGGAAGGCAGCACCCCCCCAGCCCCTACCAGTCTGACCATGGGGTAAAATTACTTCCTGACCCCAAGTGTGGCATTGGTCTGACCCCAAGCAGAGGAGCAAGACCCTCTAGCCAGGACCCTCTGGCTTTGGTCCCTGCAGGAGCATTGGCACAGCCCAGTTGCCTCTGGGAAGACTTAATAATACCCTGACACTTCTAGCAGAAAAGGAGAGAAGGGGCAAACAGCCCAGAAGCCTTGGAAATCCCCACAGTAGAGCACAGGCATCACTACACCCAGATCATCATCCCTGGCAGTGACTGCACAACCTCTCCTTGAACACCTCCCGCGATGGAGAGTCCACCCCTTCCTTAAGCATCTATTCCACTGCCTCCCTGCTCTAACAGTAAAGCAGTTTTTCCATATATTTAATCTAAACTGACTTTGTTGGAGCTTTCAGCCATTGGTCTACCTCCTCCTCTCTGCAGTGAGAGAGAAAAGGCGCTTTCCCTCTTTTTATGGCAGCCCATCAGGTATTTGCAGACTGCTGTCCTGTCCCCTCTTAAGCACCCTTCTGCAGGCAGAATGTGCCCAGCTCCTTCAGCCTCTCCTTGTCAGACTTGCTTTCCAAGCCCGTGATCATCTTTGTTGCCCACCTCTGGACTCCCTCTATGCGAAAGAGCCGTCACGTGTCCACTTCCCCCCATGGGGCAAACTCTGGGGCAGATTGCTCCGTAGCAATCACCGTGTGTAACTGCTGCAGAATCTGCCTCCCTGTTTCCTTCCCTCTCCCTGCCCTGAGCCTTCCCTCACCTCCTCATCTCCCTTCCTCCCTACCAGATACGAGCTGAGAGTCATTGTGTGGAACACGGATGAGGTTGTCCTGGAAGACGATGATTATTTCACCGGGGAGAAATCCAGCGACATCTTTGTGCGAGGGTGCGTCAGCTTGGGGAACTGGACAAGGGTGTGGGAGCTCTCTGGCAGGGGACACGGCCACACTCAGGCTTGAAGGAGGTAAAGTGGTTTGAAGGCCACAATCCTGGTGTGGGGAACAGGATGAACACCAAGAAGACTGGCCTTTTCCTGTTGCCTCGTTTCGTGGTCTCCTACCTGTGTCCACGTAACTCCCTTTGCTCCCAGTAATGGGTTCCTTCTCTGTGGTCCCTCCAGGTGGCTGAAAGGCCAGCAGGAAGACAAGCAGGACACAGACGTCCATTACCACTCACTGACGGGTGAGGGCAACTTCAACTGGCGTTACATCTTCCCCTTCGACTACCTCATGGCTGAGGAGAAGATTGTCATCTCCAAGAAGGAGTCCATGTTCTCCTGGGATGAGACTGAGTACAAGATCCCTGCACGCCTCACCCTGCAGGTCTGGGATGCCGACCACTTCTCCGCTGACGACTTCCTTGGTGCGTGCAGGATGTGGGGCTAGCCCAGCTTGGGCTTGGGTTCGGGTGCCTCACAGAAAGTTTGGTGAGGGGGGTTGGTGCCACCATGCCCTGGGGGTCTGCTCCGAACTGTTGTTACCAGGGACATGAGACTGGAGGGAACGGGATGAGTCCTGAAATAAGGCTGGGGCAAGTCATAGTCTTAGAACCCTGTTGCATATTCAAATGAAAGCCGGATAGAAACCAGTGGTCAAACTGCTACATATGTTCAAGCAGTGACTTTGTAGCTGGACAGCCATTTTCATGGTGTGACAATTACTCTGCACATGCAGCTGGTCTAAATTTATTGTGCAACTCACCAGTTAATTGTGTGATAATGAGTTTGCACTTCAGGCTAGTCTTACTTGGCATATATGGCCAGTCTAAATTTATTATGTAATTTGCCAGGAAATTGTGTATTATATGTAATGTGTAGCAGGGTTTATAGACTCATAGAGAAGTGGGGAGATCCAGAGGTCACATCTAGTCCAACTCCCTGCCTGAGGCAGGATTATCCCTGTCCAAACCATCCTAGACAAATCCACTGTGTAACCTCTTAGCAAAACTAAGACAACATGGTCAACCCTGACCCAAAACCAGAGGAGAGGAGGGGCCCAAAGGTAGGAAGAGGGGAACAAGAGGCACCAGAGAAGATGATGATCTATGAATGCAGAATAAGGGGCAGAGCAAGGGATGGGAAGGTGCTGGGGAAGGTGCAAGGTGCCGGACAGGATGGTACCACACAGCTAGGGCGCTGCCCCACCCCAGCACCAGCTGTGCAGTGCCTGCCTGGGCATCACTGGGGTGCAGGGGCCGAGAGTCACCACCTCCTTCCTCACCAGGCGCCATCGAGCTGGACCTCAACCGGTTCCCACGAGGTGCCAAGACGGCCAAGCAGTGTACCCTGGAGATGGTAACAGAGACCGACCTGCCCATGTTCTCCATCTTCAAGCAGAAGCGGGTAAAGGGCTGGTGGCCATTCATAGCCCGGAACGAGGATGATGAGATGGAGGTCACGGTGAGGACCTCGCAGTGCGGGGACGCTGGTTGACTGTGGGAGCTAGGCCATGCCCACTGGCAGGGGTGAACCCAGGGGGCTGCAGTGGTGCAGTTCCACCCCCTTTCACTCCTGCTCCAGCCAAAGTTTAAAACCAACTTCCCATCAGAGGGAACAACATTTCTATTCAGAGTCACATGACTTCATGGCTTATTGTTGTCTACCTGATTCCTGCTAATCTCTTTTCATTCCATAGATATTAATGTCCATTTCTCCCACTTAATGGTCTTGATCTTCCACTGATCAAGCTACCCTTTCTTCTGCAATGCTGCTGTCTGTTAGCCATGCCTGGTAATAACTCTTACCTGCTTCACAGCCCTGCAGGTTGTTTCTGGCTTTAGCTAAAAGCCTTAACCTTTGTTGTGTGATTTGCCAGTTAATTACACATTATAAGTAAAGTGTAACTCAGGCATACCGATGACTGATAGTGAAGGCACTGTCAAGGCTTTCAAAGAGGCTAAATTTTGTTTTCCAGATCTGAATGAGAGATGTACATTTCATTATAACGACTACAGGAATAACAACAAAAGATCTTTTGACTATTTTTTGCCTAATTTGTTGTGTTTTTTTCAGTTAATATATAATCTAGCTGTAAATTAGTGACCCTCTAATAAAGTTATATTGGTTTTTGGTCTTAACCCAAATAATATAGTACTAGGCACTGAACAGATTAGCAACGCTTCTAATTTCTCTTTAACTGGAGAAAAATATGTGTTGATTCACATCAATATCTGCACCCCCCTTTCAAAATCCTAGATCTGCCTCTGCCCATGACCCCTGAGGAGGGACATGTAGAGAGCCCAGGGATGGGGCAGCAATGGGGCTGCACGTTGGGAGTAAGGGGCATCAGCACCACCAGGGGCAGGAGCCCAGGGCTGCGATAAGGGAACATGGCAGAAGCCCAGAAGCCTAACTCCTGCTCCAGAATGAGTGGTTCCCTCACCTGGGGGCCCTCCTGTTCCCCTCGTGCCATTGCACCACCCTGCTTCAGAGGCTGCTGGTCCCCACGGAGCCATGTGGAGACGAGCAGGGAATCCCAGGAGACCTCAGACCTGCACAGAGTTGGTGTCAGCTCGTATGTTATCCATGCTGCTCGGCCAGGCACCGTTCCCCCCGCTGCTTCAGCCCATTGCCCCATTTCCTGGTGCTGAGGATACCGGGAGCATGTGGGGAGCTGATTAGATGCACTGAAGGGCACAGCATATATGGGGAACCCGGCACCGCTGAGGACCTGTGCTGAGGGCTCCCGCAGGCTCTGGACTAGGGCTCCCCTGCCCATTGCTCCCTTCGAGCTCTCAACCTGGGGTGGCAAGAGCTCACCCCCCGCTCTGTGCTCCCTGCAGGGGAAGGTGGAGGCTGAGCTGCACCTGCTGACAGCTGAGGAGGCAGAGAAATCCCCCGCGGGGCTGGCACGCAATGAGCCCGACCCACTGGAGAAGCCCAAGTGAGTGCCATGGGGCAACGGTTAAGGGAAGGGAAGATGAGGCTCTGGTGGGGGTGTGGGCTGCATGCCAGGGGTGAAGTCTGGGTAGGAGGCTGGAGGGCATTGAGGTTGGGTCTTTGGTGGGGGTAGCCCTGGGATTTGCTTCCATTGAAAGGTCTCTGTCTTGTCTATCATTTCTTCTTCCTTCTTTCTCTCTCTCTCTGTCTCTCTGCCTTCCTCTCCCTCCCTCTGGCCACTCTGCTCTCCTGTCCCCATCCCTGTCCTTAGCCGGCCAGACACCAGCTTCATCTGGTTCCTGAACCCCCTCAAGTCCATCCGCTACTTCCTCTGGCACACGTACCGCTGGCTCCTCCTCAAAATCCTCCTCCTTGCTCTGCTGCTCCTGATGGTTGGCCTCTTCTTCTACTCCATGCCGGGCTACCTGGTCAAGAAGATTCTCGGGGCCTGAGGGCACCTCTCCTTTCACTTGTGGTACTTCTGCCTCCTCCTCTTCTTCCTCCTGGACTTGGTGCTGACACACATGGGTCGCAGCTGTGGTCCTGGATGGGTTGGGTCAAGACCCAGGGCTTCAAGTTGGGGTCTTGAGGTCCCTTTGCCTATGGGCACCAAAGCATGAAGTTCATTCTCTGGGGGGTGATAAGGAGCATGGGTGTTCAAGGAAGCCGGAGCCAGCACATGCCAGGAAGAGCTGTGGCCAGCTAGGAGGTGGAAGCGGCTGAGGAGCCTCTGTGCAAAAGAGGGGTGGGCAACTTGGCTCAGACATGCTGGGTCTGTGTAAAGTCACCAAGCCTCAGAGCAAAGGAGAAGGGATGGGGAAATGAGAGCAATAGAGTAGGTCACAGCCCTGCCCTGTACAGTGCAGGAGGACGTGGGTCCTGATTAGCTGGATGAGACTGAAGTGCCTTGGGAGAGAACGTCATCCCTGTTGGGGGGTCACAGGTGGGCTGAGGATGTTAATGCTAGTCAGCAAGGCACTTTCTGGCCGTTGCTGCTGCTGCTGCTCCCAGTGGTGTTATTATGCATTCACTTGCAGCAGTTGTAAATCATTGGGATGTGGTGACATACCGAAGTTAGTACAGGTTAAGGAAATAACTCTCACCTGAAAGGGAACAACTTTTCAGTGCTATAGGGTGATGTTGCATGTCGCACTCAGCCCGTGCTACCCCTGCGCAGTGTGGAGCCGTGTTAAAGTTAGGTAGTGCTGGGAGCAGTCACACTGGAAGGGTTAATACCATTTCTTGCCTGTACCGCCCTGACTTGCTAATAGAGGACTGGCGAACAAGGACATGGCTAGAAGCCAGGACACCTGGGCTCTGTCCCTGCTCTGGAGAGGAGCATTGCATCGTGGGATGCTGGAAGACTGTAAATTGCTTGTTTTATCTCCATGGAGCAGAGTGAGGTTATCCTAACATGAGCTGGGTAGCACAGCCCAGAGTTAACCCTCACCTTACGTGGCATCACTTTCAAATTCTCATTAGCACAAGCTAATGAGTGTCAATGTGTGGATGCTCATGTTTTGAGTGCCCTGAGTGTGATTTAAGTGTAACGTGTAACTTCACCCTAGGAGGGCACCTAACACAGGCTAAACTACTTGAACATATGTCTGCTTGAGTTCTACCTGCCTTTAATATGTGTTAAGTTGATGTGTGACACCATCCTAACACCACTTACCTTGGCTTTGTTTGTCTTCCCCCTCAACACATCCCTTCCTGCTGCCGCTGCCTCCGGACAGCCGCCCCGACACCTCCTTCATCTGGTTCCTCAACCCGCTCAAGTCCATCAAGTACCTCATCTGCACCCGCTACAAGTGGCTTATCATCAAGATCGTGCTGGCTCTGCTGCTCATCATCATGGTGGGACTCTTCCTTTACAGCATGCCTGGCTACATGGTCAAGAAGCTTCTGGGGGCATGAGGTCGCCAGGGACTGGGCCGTGGGACCATCCTGTGTCCCGCTGCTGCCGCTGCTTCTCCTGGTTTGCATTTCTTCTGTTGTGTATTTGTTTTCCAAGGATGGAGGAAAAGGGGTGGGGACAGGGGAGGTGGGAGGGAGGGAGGGGTGGGTGCCGAAATGGACCTCCTAAGCTTCGTCTTCCCTTGGGTCAGCGGAGGCGACCTTCCGGGCACCGAGTCTGTGTAGTGTCTCCGCCAGGATGGGAGCCCAGCAGCTTTCTCTCCAGCAGCAGGTGCCCGGATTGCCAGCCTGGCAGCAAGGATCGGACACTGGCTCTGTGTGTTGTTTTGTGTTTGGTACATACAGGGCCCATACGCCCTGGCATGAGACTCCCTCCCGGCCAAGAGCCCTGGGATACGCCCCAGACATTCGAATCGAAGGAGCCACTGGAATCGCTGGAAGGATGACCCCGTCTCTGAGATAGAGAGGGGGACAAAGGCCCTCCTGGAGCCAGGCCCCGGGCTCTCATCCCAGCACCACGGGCAGCGTAGCAGGATTGCATTTGGCCAGAGCTTTTCCTTGAGCCCCCAGAGCTGCCAGCGCTAGCTCCTCACCCATGAGCATGCCTGGGGTTTGCTCTCGCCTTGCTGTCTCCTCCCCCTGCTCTCTGGGCGGGCACGGGTCCATCCCTTGCTGCCAGCCCAGAGCCGCCCCTCTGCCCTCCGATCCAGGGGCATAGCTCACTCCTTCATCTGGGGCCCTTCTTCTAGTTTGCTTGTATGATGTTGCCGTTGTAACTGTCACTTAAAGAAACCCGCCTAGGCAGCCCCCAGCCCACCCTCCCTGCCCAGTTTCCAGCATCCAGCTGCTCTCCCATGCTGGGGGAATGGCAAGGATCCTTTAGAAAGTTTCTGCCACTCAATGGAGCAGCCCCTCGATGCCACGGTGATGGGCAAAGAGACAGAGAGAGGATCCCCTCCCTGGCCTGGGTGCACGGGCTCTCCACACCTACCTCCTCCGCAGCATCAATGGGTTTGCAGCTAAAGAAGTCCCTCCCTGCCACCCAGTGCCCACCCTGTCCCCCACCACCTGGAATGACCCCAGGCTGGCACAAGTGGAGGTGAGAAGTGGGAACAAACTGGTCAAGGCATCCGGCTAGGACAGGACAGATGAGTCCGCTCCCTCCAGGGGGAATGAGTCTGGGTCTTGCTGTGGCAGCGGCATGCCCGTGGGTGTGACCACGGGTAGCACATCCCCGTGTGTTAGGGGGATCACGGGCAGCAGACATGGTGCCAGCCTCGGGGAGCCACTGGCAACAGATACAGGTGTACCTCGGCTGGAAACATGGGCAGACCTGCAATGTTGCCTGGGTTGGCAGCGGCTCAGACCTGGGTGACTGGCTGCAGCTCGGCCACTCTGTGGGGTGCTGCTTCTCTGGGTCTGGGGCCCCTCCAGCCAAGGAGGTCAGTCCACAGCCCCCCATGGCCCCAGCCAGCTGCAGGAATGGACCTCTGCCCAGCAAGGAACCCACGAGGCCATGCAAGTAATGACCAAAGGGCTTTTGGAAGGAGTCAGAAGGGCCAGGCCAGGAGCATGGGGGAGCCCGTGGTGCCGCTGCCTGGCCTGGAGTTCCCCGGGGCCCATTCTCCCAGCATGGGAGGGCGGCAGGGGGAACCGCCCGCCCCATCCCGTGCCCTCCACTCTGAGTGCATGTGGTTTGCATTTCCTTCCCGCAGGGCTATGCACCGGCCCTGCACTCTCCAGGGGTCACGCCAAGGCCTGGCCAGGTCTGTCCAGGTCTCTCGTGACCCCTGTCTGGCTGTGATTGTGGGGTGGGGGTGGGCGGGGGGTGTTCTCTGCACTGTTAATATGTGACTTTTGGACTCTGCTGTATGGATCAACCAGCAAACGACCGTTGTGTAATAAAAACCAGCCACAGGGCACGTTGCTGTCGTGGGGTGCAGAGGTTGGGCTGATCTGGGGGCAGGGAAGCTGGGTGCAGGGGTGAGGGGTGCCCCAACAGAGCCTGGGGCGGGGGGCAGCATTGATGCCAAGGGTCCGCCCGGGCACAGGGCATGAGGGAGGGTCTGCTGGAGATCACATGCACCACTGCCCTGTGAGCTGCCGATGCTGGTTTTCCTAGCAGGGAGGGGGGGAGCCAAGCTACCAGGACCCATGCTGGGGGCTGCTGCGCCCTGGTGTGAATGGCTCCTCCATGAAGCTCTTCCCACGGGGTGACCTCCTGCCAGCGCAAGAAGAGCCCGTGTCTCCTGCTCCGTCCCAGCCCGTGCAGCCGCTGGGCAGCGAGCCCCTGGGTGCATTCCCTGTCCTGCACACGGGTGGGTATCTCAGCCCACCCCTCACCTGAACTTGGGTTGCAATGGGCAATGCAGGACTCCCAGCACACAGCGGTGCGGAGCCTTGATCTACGGCTTGGGTTTGGATTGGGACCAAAGCAAAAGGGAGGAAGGAGGACCTGGGAAACTATAGGCCAGTTAGTCTTACCTCGATCCTAGGCAAGCTGTTTGAGAAAATAATTCTGGCACACATCCAGGAGGGGCCAGCAGGGGACTGCATGCTTAGGGGCAACCAGCACAGGTTCATCAGTGGCAGGTCCTGTCAGACCAACCTGGTGGCTTTTTACGATCAGATCACCAGATCATTAGATGCAGGGGTAGCAGTGGACATCGTCTTCCTGGACGTCTGGAAGGCTTTGGACACTGTCTCTCACCCCGTTCTCATTAAGAAACTGGGGGCTGTGGTGTAGACACGCACACAGTCAAATGGGTCGCCAACTGGCTGGAGGGCCACACCCAGAGGGTGGTAGCGGATGGGTCCTTCTCAACCTGGA